CGACCAGGCCAGAACAGCAGGAAGCAGAATGGAGGAAAACGGAACCCTGCCTGGGCACTAAAAATTTCACAGCAATTTTCAGCTCACCTGCGCGCAAAGCATTTCCACAACTCGTTTTGTTCGTCGTTGCGATTTTAACAATTTTATTAAATTGAATTTATATCATTTACACGCTTGTCGACTTCAAGTCTGCTGCCGGGGACAAGAGGGAGATATACATTTACCTCCGCCCTCCCACGAAGTAATACCATTTAATTTCGCGCTTTCGTTTTATGTGGCATTTCTGCAGGATATAATAGTAGGAACGCTCGTGTATATCCACAGGAAAAGAGAGACATTTTTTCCTAGGCTTTCGCCAATTCTTGCTTTCATGATTATTGATGCGGGTGAAATTTAATTGGTGGTCCTTTCCTGTCTGTCTGTCTGTCTTTCTGCGTGGAGGATGTCCCTGCTTCGTTCATCCTCGTTGAGACGTTTGTGGCCTGCCGTTTTTCCGTTCCGTTTCGCCGTCTGCCTGCTTATTAGATAATATTTTTCGAGACTAACGAGTTGGGGCCGACGCTGCTCTCAGGCCTATTAGACCACTTGAGGGGGTGTTGGGGGATGCTTCCGGTTGATGCTTGAATTTTGGCAATTGGTTGTCCATGTTCCATCTGGGGAAACCGTATCTTTTGACCACTTTTTGGTCGCTTTCAAATCGAAATTGCAACATTTGAAGTATTTCCAACTGGCAGGGAAAACTTGAAAAGAATTGCCACGCATGTCTGCGCCAGAAATTTGTTTAAATAAAGGCCAAAACTTTTCTTATTTCGCGTAAAGCTCTCTCACGAGCAAAAAAAGCGAACCGGGAAGAACAACAAACAAATAAGCGGCAAAGAAAACTTCGACGCCGATACAATTTCGCAAAATGTCGAAAACTGTGATTGCGTTGAAGCCTGAACTCCTTCCTTCCAGTCTCCACTCTTGGTGGAAGCTACCAACTTTTGAGTCAAATGTAAATACTTTTCCTGGCAAATATTATCACAATTCCACGCGGATGCTGCTGCCAGAGATACTAAATAAACTGTTGGCTTGGGTCGTGGCAAGAGCGAGGGCACAAAGAGCCGGAAATATCCTGCAATTGCAGTCAGTGTGGTGTGGAAACAAGTGCGGATCAGGTAGGTGGGGGATCTGATGGAAGTCGACACGATGTCCCATAATCCGGGACTGAAGAACTAATTTTCAATGTAAAACAGAAATAAATAAATAAATAGAAAGTCGGTAGCGAAGAGTATTTATAGAGCCCATCAATGGAATGCTAATCTCTTCCCTAATCTGTCCCCCTTCGCATATTTCTATGCCCAATTAGGCAGGGCATTGCGTTGGACAAATTAGCCGAAAACCTTGATACCCCCTCCCCCTTTACCTAACCAACGGACTGGGGGCGCATTAAAATTCATTGCTTCGAATATAGCGCATACGCCGGGTCGTGTGGCCTGGTGTGGCGTGGTGCTCGGCAAACTGCAAAGCGATAAACTTCAAGTGCCCCTGCAATGGAGAACCACATGGCCATCTCGTTTCGCTGGGCAATGACTAGAACATGGCATGGCATGACCCTCCACATCCACATCCGCATCGATTACCATTACCGGAAAGGGGTGTTCGGGTTTCGAGTTACAGGCGAGCCCTGTCAGGGCCCTGGCCATGCCATATTAATCTGGTTAATGATGAAACTGAATCAGCGTTTTTAACGAGCCACTGCACAATGAAGTGCTTGGTCCTGCTCCTGCTGCTGCTGCGTCTCCAGACCCGTGTCCTGCCGATGCTTGTTTGCTGGTTGCTGCTGTGTCGCATAAATGGCCCGGCCGGCAAATAAATTAGCTGCGGCTTTCTCTCAACTCTCGACCATTGGCCATAAAGTTGGTCATACTCATAGCGCTTTTTTCTGGCCCGCTGTCGCATCCTCGACTTGGATGTTGACTCGGCTTTAAGGAAATTTTATCTTGCTGGGTGGTTCTGGTTTTGGTCTGCACATTTTATGGCTGCAAACTTACAGATCGCCTTATGAAGTCATTCCTTAATGGTGGGAACTTGTAACCCTTTCAAATATAAAAGCATATGTATGTATATGGCTTGAATTTCCTCTACCCTCTCGTGATTTTCTCCCCCATTTCCACGCAGTAACCGAAAAATTGGTCAATTATTCAAACGAATTTCACGCATTTAATTGTGTAAATTTAGCCAGGCATAACAGACATCAACACACGCACACACACCTCCCACACCATGATGAAGTTCGCCCCTTCCGAGATTCCGATTCAGACTCTGATGTGCCTCGCCTAACGTAACGTAACGTCATAATCACCCCGAAGCGCACGTAATTGGCCAATCAATTGTGTCATTGTTCGCATTTATAACGCGGTCGGCCTCTCGGACTCCACTGTCTGGACGTGGGCTCCGTCCGCTGTGATTTATATGATAGGCAAGCGGGGCAGGGCTCTACAGATGGACATTCTGCCAAGTGTTAGGCCTAACCGAAACAGAAATAGTTATAGTGAAAAAACAGTTGAAATGCCCCCAGTTGAAGTAGACAAGAAAAAGTGCAACAAATGAGATTCTGCAACTGAAGTTTTCATGCTGTTTTTGTTTCGAGTTGTTTTTGGTTTTCGTTTTGCCTCTTACTCTTCTCCCCCCTCACCATCTTGTTCTTCTTCTGTTTTTAGCTGTAACTTTTTAACAAATGCACAAAACGAATGACAACTTCCGTTTCCGTTGGGAGGAGTGTCCGGATGGGTGCTGAGGGAAGAGGGAGAGAGGATACTAGGGCCGGCTGTCACAGCGAAAAATTACATGCCTTGCGCAAAAGTTTTGCCTCTTCATTATTCTAACATCAAGTCGACACGAGTTGCGGTTTTTGCAATTTTTCTTCAAGTTCCCACAACGTTGCCGCATTCTTCTGCTTCTCCGGAATTTCTGCACCGTCAGACAAAGTGTGAAACGAGGCACAAAACTTCTTGGGACTCCCACCCATACCCGGGCCCCGACCAGGACCCACGCGCGTCACGGCGCACATGCTACCAGCGACTCAGACACTCCTTGGAACAGGGTGCAGAAATTATACGCTGCATTTTAATCACAATTCAAATGAACAGAGGAATCATCGTCATTATTCCGAACAGCAGTAGCTTCTTGAAGAGTGTCGCGCGTCTCTTCGGCAATCCATTGAAAGAATGTTGGACGAACTTTTCGGAGTCCTCCACGTGGCTGCTGCTGGTTCCTCATTAACTCTGTTGGCGTCGCCTAGAGTTGCCTAGAGAGCAGTTAAAGTTGCTCCCATTCCTTGCGAATAAGGCTAATGTACAACATCAAATTAACTCGATATTTAAGTATAAAAGAGCACCATTCAGAGGCAGAGAAATAACCGCGGAGGAGGCCTCTTCCTTCCTCCATTCCCTAACAGAACAATGACACAACAACCCGAGGCCCTCTTCCGATTCATTTACAATTTATTTCCACGTTTATTGCAAGCATTTCGACCGTAAACATTTTCAAATGAAATTGAGCATGCGATTGAGTTGCGTAAATATTTTTAATAGCTATAAAATTGCAGCAGTTAAGGATCGCACTGTTCTGGGAACAGTAGAGAGTTATCAACGATGCAGAAGGAGCCCATCATAGTTCATAGAGAGCACGCGCGCACCTTTGTCTCGATTCTCGGTTGCGGAAAAGTTTTCTGGACATTTTTCATGTGATTTATTAATGTTTAAGCCAATGCAATTTGCCAATCTTCGACAGATTGCGATAAGAGCAGGCACAAAGCAGAAGCGAGAAGAGAATATGCCCCGAAAGAACCTCAAAAGAAAATGGAAACTGTCAAAATGAGGCAAAATCAATGACAGTTGCAATTTGGAAAAGTTTTGCACATCAAACCCCCTCCCGAACCTCAGCCGAACGCTGGAGAAGGCAAGTTCTTGATTTGGTTTCTGGGTTTCCTCGCTTCGATCGTATCGTATGGGGCAATTAGCATTTTGTGGCAATGTTGCAACAATAATTCACGAGCCAGCAGGAGTTCCAGACCAGTCCAGCCCAGACCAGGAAAAAAAATGCAGAGGTCTGTGAGGGAAAAAAATTATTTGATTATCCTGCGGCCATGCGCTGTCACAATTTTGCAGACTGCCCGCCGAGCGTGTCGACCGAGTGTCCGACCGGTAGTCGAGGAGTCGAGGAGAAGTCCTACAGAGAAGTCCTGCTGCAGCAGCAGCACCCTGAAAAGTGCCACATCAGCGAAAGTCTGTTAACTTCCGGTTTATGGTTGCAGCAGCTTATGGAGTCATTTCCGCCAACTCCTCCCCGGAGTCCGAGTCGGAGTCCTCGCCCGTGTCCTCGTCCTCGTCCAGATCCCATTCATTCGGCTCAGCCAGGCAGCCAGGGTGCCATTCAGGCCGCCATGCAGCTGGCGGTGCCCGCAGACCATTCTATTAAATCATCATTTCATTCCTCCCCCGTGTCCTCCTGCTGGTCCTGCTTCTGCACTGCGCTTGCGGTAATTTCTTTCTCATTTTTTGTCTCCTCTTTTTTTGGGTTGCAAGTGCTTCCTTTAGATTTATAATTAAGATTTGGTTAGCAGCAAATAGCGGCTCTTTTTGAATTTATGCTGCCTGCTGCTCTGCTGCCTGCTGCCCATAACCGCGGTAATTTATCATATTTTTAGCGACAGTCTCTTACAAATTATATGGGCTGCAGCCAGCGGCAAGGGTTGGGGGATAAAAACTTCTGAACAGTGCAATTTAATTACGCTGAGAGGCGCTGTGCGAATGGACAGTACCTGGGGTGAAGTGCAGCTGCGGTCCGAAGGAGCTCCAATAAGCCATCGGAATGATGGACGGCAGATCTCTTGCTCTGATAGTTATGCGTGGGACAGATCTTGATGATAATATATTGTAAATTGAGTTTTGACGATGTTATATGCCGGTCAAAACTCAATCCAATTTAATTCAATCGGTGAATGGGAAACGTTGGCTATGGCAGTGATCTTTAAAGCTCTATTTGTCGGGTTGTTACTTGTCAGTGCCTGGGACATGCTAGAGGGACAAAAGGTGAAAATCTCCTTACACCTCTCGCTCTATGTGACTCTGTTTGACTTTATCCTGCAGTCCCTGAATTCCCTGCTCTTTCGGAAGATTATCACCGAATACAACAGCAAATATGTGTCGAATTATGGCATCGGTGAGTGCGGACTATTCGACCGTCAATTTTACCCTAAAGTTTGTGCATGCCATCACGGTGGATGTGTGGCTGAGGGCCACGCTGAAATAACGCGTTCCCAAGAAGAACGAGAAGGTACGTGTGAGACGCTTCTTACGCGTCACAACTTTTATACCCGGCACTCGGTACTACATCTGCACCTTAGCGGTGTTTTGTCAAATTTTACATTTTTTCTTCATCTGTCATCTACATCTACAACACTTCTCACACCAACACGCTCCGTTAGCTCCCCGCCCTTCTCAAGGCCCTCACACTGCAGACTCGCGGCAGAGGCAGAGGCAGCGCCCGCACACAAAAAAAAACAAATATAAGCTGCAGGACGGGGTGGGTTAAAAGTCGGCAGAGGCCGAGGCAGGGCCGAGTGAAGCAGAAGCAGAAGCCGAGTGTGAATCAGAGAATGTGAAAAGAACAATAAAAGCTGCGGGACAGGGTGGGTTTCGCCAGTGAAAATTCATTTCTTCATTGTGGCTATAACAATGATCCAATCGGATCCCAATTTGGTGATCTGATAGATATGGCCATTCCCTATGGAATTTTAGTTTTCTTTTATCTTCAAAATTGTAGATTTGGGAGGTTTTCGCCCTTTTGCGGGGGCGGAAAGGGCGGAAAGGGGCGTGGCTCATTTTTGAAATTCACTTGTAACAGTGTGAGCATACACAAGTCTGGATGCAAAATTTGGTGGCTCTAGCTTTTATAGTCACTGAGAACTAGCCGACAAACAAGACGGACAGACGGACGGACGGACAGACAGACATGGCTCTATCGACTCGGATATTGATGCTGATCAAGAATATATATACTTTATGGGGTCGGAAACGTTTCCTTCTGTGCTTTACATACAACCGTTATTCACACAAATACAATATACCCTGTTTACTTTTCGAGGACCGGGTATAAAAACAGCTACAGGAACGTCTTCACCTACGATGTAAATCTGTGCCACATAATGGGCCAGGGCAAAGGACAGAGCATAATCAATTACTGGCTGAACAACATCATGAGGCATTCCAATATGCCCATGCATTGTCCCTCAAAATAGGTAGGAAAGCAAAACAATAGTTGAACTTTTCAATTTGAGCTTTGCTCTCCAGGGAAACTATACCATGTTGAACATTCAAGTGGATAAGGACACTATTTCCCGATTCATACGTTCGGGTAGCTTCAGCATCGACACCATCGTTTACATTAGGCACTGGCACAACGATAACCTGACAAATACTATTTTTTATGTGGATATCAAAATGAAGTGAAGCCCAGGCTACGGCTCCGGCGAATGGGTAAACCAGCGCCATCGAATTTGTCACATTAAAACGCAATGAATCATTGAAGAGCTCAAATCTCCACTGGCTAACACAATTTCTCACTTCCAATCGAGTAAATCGTTGCACGTGCATTTCGCATAAATAAATTAATGAGCTCTCCAGCAAGGACACGGACATGGACACCGACACGGACACGGACACAGATTCGAGAAGAGTACGCTACATGGGGCTGCATGCTGCGATTTATGCGAGTGCGAGTGCGGGCAAACTAAGCGCAAAATAATTTAAACACTGTCAATAATAGTTTGGGGACAAAGTATTTTTCCATCGACAAGTTGCTCCTTGCCATCGTCATCGTCCTTTCCTCTCGACACGTTCGCACTGGCTTCTTTCCTTTTCCTTTCCTCGGATTTGCCATCAATTGCACTTCCGTTGCAGGAATGACGGGGCAAAGCACAATTCCTTGTATTTTGTCGAAGAAATCGAATGAACCAAAGGAAGAACCAACGCCAGACAGGGCCAATGCAACCAGAGCCGGAGCCGGATCCAGAGTTCAAGACGGAGTAGGAGCATCTTTTGAAACAAATGGAGAAAGGAACCAGAATGGGGAGTGAAAACAGGAGAAGTGGCATCGTGTACTCAAGGAAATTGCCATCATTATACTTGTCGCAGTTGTCGCACTTTGTGTTAAATAACGTTTAATGTTTGTTTGGCGTGAAATTGATTTACAAAGGAACACCGACCGCCGAATTGTTGGCATCGGATCAGCCGAAGGAGACCACTATCACCCGATGCGGCTTATGGGGCTTGGCCCTAACCCAGAATAATATACAATAAATTGAATCAATTTGTAGCCCTTCTGTGGCATCATTTCAAAGGCCTCCAATTAGATGGCTGGCTGGGCATTAGAACTAATTAGGCAAAGCCTCACCTGACTTTCACTCACTCACTCACTGACATACTCTCATTACTCATCAGACATGTCTGCAGGCGTTGTCAGGAGCAGGAACAGGAGGAGGAGTAGTCGTTGGGGTTGGTGTTGCTTGGGGATCATCATACAACCTATAATTATACCAGCGGGAATCGGAACAAATTGGCGTACACAAAGGCTTCGGGCAAATCATGTGGACCGGCCAGAGTGTGGGTGGCAGCGGCAATTAGGAAGCGATAAAGCTAAACGCTTCACACATTTGTATGTACGTCCATCCCCCTCCGCCACATCGGAAGGAGCTGCTGCTGATTGCGAGAACAAGTCAAATGCAGTTAAAGAAAGCGTTAAAAGTTTTAGCCTAATGTGTATTTTTTTCACCATTTAATCGTTTAGAACTAAGGTATATTTGTGCAAATAAATTCTTGGAATGTTGCAGATGAACATAGATAGTTCTATGTATCTAGTTCACAATAAATGTAACCTAGTAGTGGGTATCTTATTGTCTAGTCGTCATGCCAACCATGTACATTTCTTACAATTTTCCTGTCCGATTTCCTCTGCTGTGTCTTTTGCTGCATGCGACAGCTGCGATCCCTGCTCACGACACAAGACACAAGGCAGACGGCGAGGATTCTGCAGCTAAATTGAATGTTTCATTCGGAGCATCTTTCTCCCGTTCTCCGCATCGATAATCAACGCCATGCAGTGCAACATGTTGCACCCTTGTACAGGATATTATTATTTCTCGTCATGAAATAGCTGCCACCAACCCCCCACATTTTCTGCAGACGCAGCCAGGAATCAGAGTGGCAGAGATGGAGAAGGGATGGAGCAGTAAAGATTGCATTCTCGATGGCTGGCTGTCTGGCTGCTTGGCTCCGTGGCTGCAGGAAGTGTCAACATCATTACGATTATTACATCGATTATGTTTGAACTATAGACGAGTTTATTTTTTATTACGTTTCTGGGGGGTGTTTTAATTCGACAGGATCGTATCAATTATCAGGGTGAGGGTTTCCTCGTAGGTCTTGGTCTTGTACTTCCCGTAGAAGAACTCGACTTTGCCGCGGTACTCGCCCGGAATGAGGAACCTGTGGGTCATGGTGCTGCCCATGCGCCAGTTGTGCATATAGTAGTGGCCCACCTGGACGGGGCAGTTGTACATGAAATTACCGTGCTTCGTCATATCCTTGAACCAGGACTTAAACAGACTGTTCTTCACAGTCGAGGTGGCGGCACAGACGTCGTTCACCTGGCTGAAGACCGACTGGAAGTTCTTCGCATTCGCAAGTCGCAACTGTATGTCGAAGTGAACCTTAAAGCCCCTCACAATGGGTCTGCTCAAGTCCATTTCCATGTTCATCATATTCTTCGAAATGGTCAGGGAAAAGTTCCTGAAGTACTTTTCGTTATAGGTACAGTTGCTTGCCAGAAACTCCACACTACGTTCCTGGAAGAGATTTTAAGCTTCAGCGGGACCATGCAATCCAAGTCGGTTCCGAGACATATCTTACCCCATTAACAAGCTCTGAGTTAAAGGAAAGAAAAATAATCACGGAGTAATTCAGCAATTTCCACATTTCAGAACCCACGACAAAACTCAAATGAAAAATGAAAAAAATATCAAAACCAATTATGGACATGGGGGAGCGTTTATTTCCAAGTCATTAGCCAATAGCCAAGTGAGATGCATCGGATATTATATCAGATATGGATGATGGCATCGGCCGTGCAGCTCATTATGAAGACTTCGTCTTTGCCCTTGTACTTTCCGTAGAAGTTGTAGGTCTGCAAGCGGTACGATCCGCTAGTTATGAACGGCGGCACCAGGCCCTCCCCGAACTGCCAGCCCGTCAGATAGTAGTGTCCCGCATTGAGCGGGCACTGGCGCAGAAAGTTGCCGTACTTAAGCAGGTTCGTGTACCACTTTTTGAACAGATTAGTTTTGGCGGCGTTCACAATGTGGCACACGTCCACATTGGTGGAGAAGAGACTCTGGAAGCTCTTCGAGTTTCCCACTCGCAACTGGAAATCCAGATGGGCCCGCCATCCTCTCCGCAGGGGCTGCCGAAGGTTCATATCTAGAAATATCTGATCGTTGCGTATGCTAAAGGAGAAGTTGTCGAAGTATTCGCGGTTGAATCTGCTTTCCCCTGCGATGAATCTGATGCTGCGATCCTGACGACACAGAGCGAAAGATACTAGATGCACATTTCCGTTAAAAATACTCACCGCCTCTACGGAAGCAAGAAACAGAAACTCCATAAGCTGTAATATCCACATCAGCTGACGACTCATCTCTACTAAACCCAGGAGTCAGCTTGTGTTAACTATTCCAATACCAAATATATTAATTAATTCAAGCATTGAGGCCTGACGGCCAGATATAACCGCTTCCTCTGTCTGCGAAAGATACATATATAATTGGCCTGATTAGATTGATTAGATTAGAACTCCAGAATCGGTTTCTCATCGTTCTTCTTGTACCTCCCGTAAAATAACGTTGCAGACATGCGAAAGTCTCCTACGTAGGCGACCAGCTGTGGGTATAGTAGTAGCCTTTCCGATGGGACAGCTCGTGCCAAAGTTGCCCACCTTGAGCATGGACGTGAACCAGCGCCGATATATCGACTTTTGGGCCCCTCTGATCAGAGAACAATAGTTTATGTCGTGCTGGAATAAAATTTTGTAGGACTTGTCCTTGCCAAGGCGGAATTTAAAATCCACATGCGTTTTCAGTCCTTGAGAAAGCGGCGAGACGACGACCAAATCGATCATCCGTTTAGTATTGATAATATGTACAGTGAAATTGGAGAATAAGTATCTGCGGGCTGTATCTGCTGCCGCCCGTCTTGAAGGTAATTTTGTTGGCCAATATTTGTAAACGCTGAAAATGGAGATATTTAATGGGTTGGTGATTTCAGCTGCGTGATTGAGTGAGCATTTTTGAGCGTCGCTTGTCATTCTATTAGCATTGACTACGAGTTCACCAATCCAATTTGATATCTGTTCAGTGATGGCTCGCTGATGGTGGTTCTGGTAAACGCACATTATTAGTGATCATGATGCATAAATTTATCCACCATTTATCCACCATGGAGCTTAAACATATGTATGTACAGATGTTGTACGATACCTTACCTTAAATTTCTTGTGATCGTCTCACTCTCACGACAAATTGGAATAATTCTTCTTGAGACCGGAGTGCTATGTTAATTTAAGTACTATATGAATTTCTTGTCGATATAGTGCGTGCACTTTAAGATAATTAAACTATCGATATAAGAAAAAAGCCATACATTATGTACGAGGTCAGTGGGTCGGAGAAGCATTGATGTTTTTGAGATGCTTTTTTTAATTTGATGCATAAATTTCTGTTTTACTGATCGCTGATCCATGATCCATTTCTTGTGATCGTCCAGGTGAACGCACTTGAACAGAGTTTTTGGTCAAGAATTGGATTGGATTTTGAGAAATGGATCGTAAAAAGTTGTCCTGGTGAATACTCTTGCCTCGTGATTTTGGCAGCCATTAGTGATGGCATACAAATATCGACTTGCTCAAACGGCTCTAGTCTTATAGTCTAATATTTACCTAGAGCGCTATGGGTAAAAAGCCCGTTTTTTGGCATTAATCCAAAAAAAAGCTAGACCTCTACAAATTGGAATGAATGTTAGTTAGACTAAAGTAGCTTTTCGGGAAAAAAATTTAGTCATTTGGACCGCTCCTACCTCCCGCCCCCATACGAACTGGATCCCATTTACGTCGTATTTATTATAAAAAAAGATAAATTATGATAAAACATCCTTTAAAACATTTTATAACTTAAAAAAAATATATTTGATTGACTGATTGTTTGGTTAAAAGTAATTTGATTGGAATCGCTCCAACGTACAATTGCACTTCGCTTAGTACTTGTTTAACTAAGCAATAAATTGGATAATTTTCTTTTGAATTGTAATAGTTTCATATTTAGTTAGTCAGTTTTTGCGGCTGCTTCACGATTGGTGTTGGTCCAGATCTCCAGCAGCGCTGCATGAGTGAACTCATAAGCATCTGCAAAATTTAAAATTTTTCGAAAATGGGCAAAAACGGGCATAAAGCCTTAACACCACGTGATTCTATAATGTATGGTTAATAAAATGTAACTTCAACCTCTGTGCAGTGGTGTGCCGTGCAAAGTAATATTCCACAGAACACACGTGCAATTGGTAGTACAAAGCTAAAAATATACACGAAAAAAACATTGGACATTTAAAAATCTACACAAAACTATCAATAAACATGTATTAGCAAATATTTCTCAATATATCTCGCACTTTTTCACAAGTCAAAGCATCTCAAAATCAGCTGACTTTAAAAGCGCGCAAAAAACATATGGTACTAGGTAAAAATATTCTAAAACCAGATTTGTTCTATCTGAATATTTATGAGTCAAACAACTTAAGTCGCATTCAAATATTTTACCCAAAAAAAAAATTACATAAATGCCAACAATTCGGGCTTCTTACCCATAGTGCAGAGGTGAATACATTTGCAATGCATTCGCCATGTATGCACAACGACACATGGCGCCCACTATGGAGCCAACAGGATACACGAAGAAGACAAAGGAGGAGTTCCGCCCCGCTCTAAGCCGGTCTTGAGTAAAATCGTATTGCAAGTCACAGCAAATTGTTGGCAGCTTTTTAGGTATTTCGGCCGTGATCTTTGTGTGGAAACTTCCATAAATACATAACCACAAACATTCGATACCTCATGATTATGGGTAGAGAGAAGAAGAGATACATCACCAGTGCAATTTTGTACATATGTACATACATATGTATGTATCCACTAAGCCTCGCCAACACTTTACTTTTGCATTAGGAGAAGGGGAGCAACAGCAATGGCAACTTTAAACATAGCGCACTTAAACCACACTCAAATCAAATTGATTGAGAGCTCCCACCCATGATAATTAAACAGTTTCATTTCGAGTGCTAATTTCCAGTGCTATTTTTGTCTCCTTTTGTCTCCAATTTGTTTTAACCCGGTCGGCCCTCAGGGGGGCCACTCATGGGCAAGTGTGGCCCTTCGCGGGCGCGTTAAGGCCGCCTTAAGTTCCTCGAGGATCGACGTGTTCTTGGCAAATTCAAGTAGTTCCCCTGGCGTCCTCTTGGAGGCATCTTCAAGTGATTCCAGCGCAAAAAAACCTAGGGATCTTTTTCTTGCACGTTCGAGGGCCGAACCGATGAAGATGAGATGTTCCATGGATTCCGTGACCACAGGCTCGTCACAGCACCGTTCCTGCAGCTGTCTCGGCTGGTGATGCCTAGTTTGGTTGCATGCGCCGCAACCAGACAGTGCACTGCAGTGGCCTGTGAGGGTTCCCAGCAGTAGTCTACAGTCCTTCCGTGGTAAGTGCTTTAGGTAGTGGCTGAGTTTACCATTGCGGTCTTAGCACATGGTTCATATGGCACATGGTCGAGCCGGAAATAAATAAATATATGGTGATTAAAAAATGTTTAAATTGCTTTAAAGCTGTGATTTAAGTGCATAACAAATACGTGGTCACGATTAAGTGGGAACCCAGCTTTAAAATGGCATAGAAACAACAGCATGCAGGTTAAAAACAAGTATGTATTATGTGATATGCGAGTATTTTCATACATATGTGTGAGACCAGCTGATCTTTTTAAGTATGACCATGTAAGATATATCTAATTTGATTTGACCGGAGCTGGCAGTCTGAAAGTAAAGTTAACACGAAATGAAGCGTGTGCGTGAGAAAATAAAAGTTAAACGAGAAGGGACGTGTGGGCCGCTTCTTACGCGTCACAACTTTTATATCCGGTACTCAGAATTACATCTGTACCTTAGCGGTTCGATCCCTTTTCCTAGAGCCACACACTGCAGAGTCACGGCAACGGCAGAGGAAGAGAAACTGCAGAGGCAGAGGCCGCACAGAGTGTAAATGAGAGAACGTGAAAAAATAAATATAAGCTCCGCCCGCAGCTGGTGGGTTAAGCCACTGAAAATTCTTCATTCGGGGGGGCTCATTTTTTAAATACACTTGTAACAGTGTGAGCATACACTGGATGCAAAATTTGGTGGCTATAGCTCTTATGGTCTCTGAGATCCAGGCCCTCAACAAGACGGACGGACAGACATGGCTCAATCGACTCGGCTATTGATGCTGATCAAGAATATATATACTTTATGGGGTCGGAAACGTTTCCTTCTGTGCTTTACATACAACCGTTATTCACACAAATACAATATACCCTATTTACGAGTACCGGGTATTAAAATCGAATATAAAAAAATAATAAAAATCCAGACAGGCAAGTACCGTTCGTTTTTGATTCCCAGTGCTTACACGAACTGTATATTTTTCCCTCCCATATCAGCGGAATATTTTACAAATATGCATAAATATTTATATGTGTACATACTATGTACTTTAATGCTTAAACTTAACTCAACTTGACGATCTCATAAGCCCATAAGCCATCAAACGACTATTATTCAACTTTAGTTTAGCACGGCTTCCACAGAGCACTCCAGCATGGGATTATCTTCTTTCTTTTTGAAGCGGCCGTAGAAAAATCTGCCGGAGATGCGGTAGTCGCCTAGATAAAAGAAAGAGGGGACGTAGTTGGCGTCCAACGTCCAGCCATGTAGATAGTAATAGCCTTTCCCGATGGGACAGCTCGTGGCAAAGTTGCCCACCTTGAGCATGGACGTGAACCAGCGCCGATATATCGACTCTTGGGCCCCTCTGATCAGGGAACAGTAGTTTATATCGTGCTGGAATATACTCTGGTAGGGCTTGCCCTTGGTTAGGCGGAACTCGAAGCCCAAGTGCGCCTTTATTCCTTGCGAAAGGGTCGAAACAAGCACCATATCCATTAACAGTTTGGTGTTAATTATCTGCATTGTGAAATTAGAAAATATCTGCCGGTTGTATCTGCAGTCTCCCGTCTTGAAGGTCATTTTGCTGGCCTGTAAATTGCATCGATAGATGGCCAGAGCATCCGTAAGATATAAACTGGATGTACTTACCAGACCACTTTCACATAGGGCTTCTAAAGCCATAAAAACCACAAATTGTTGACCAAGTTTCGGGACAAACATTGCTGGATGATGTCAACGGAAGCTTTGTCAATGAGGCAAACATTTGTAACCATCGATACTATGGTCAATTAATGGGGTTGTTATTGAAACAACGGGATTGAGTAATAGATCGGAATACTTTGATACTACTAATTACCATTGCGTGTTACTTTAATAATTAATTTTTTTGCATTGATGCCTCCACAGTGCACTCGATAAGAAATATCCGGCTCTTGGTGCGATACTTTCCGTAGTAGACCAGAGCCCGAAGGCGATAATCACCGTTCAGGAGGTACGAGGGCACCAGACCCATATCCACATGATAGCCCTTGAGATAGTATGGTCCGGGCGGAACCGGACAGTTCTCCATAAAGTTGCTGTTCTTGGCCAAGCTGTTGATCCAGCGACGGAAAAGCGATTCCTTAAGGCTCGAGAGCAGCTCACAGTAGTCCGTGTCGGTCTGGACCAGGCTCTGAAACTTTTTGGCATTCGTCAGCCGTAGCTGGACATCTATGTGGCCCCGGAAGCCTCTTTTCAAGCCCTTCTCCAGATATATATCCGCCGTAATGGTGTTGTTGGAGTAGGTCACGTTCAGGGTTCTGAAATACTGTGAGTTCTTTTCACATTGGAGGCGGCTCAAGCTCACCGAACTGGGCTGGCAATGAAAGAGAGGCTGCTAGATCCTGCTCTCGGGTTTTTTTTTCATTTCTCCTCAAATGCTTACCTGAGCCATTGGCAGGGCTAGGAAGAGAACTAAGATGAATGCGTTCCTTGACATAACTGCTCCCTATTTGAGGTCTCAGTGCAATGGAAAGCGAATTTTATTGTTCGATTTGAAGTTTAGTTGCATGAGCACTAGATTTGCTAATTGGTTTTAAATTACTCTGAAATTGCGCATTGGGAATTGGTTTATTAATAGACTTTATTATTTATACTCGATATATCCAAGAGCCAATTTTAGGTTCCAATCTATGCAGCCTTCATAACCGCATAGATGTCCATGTCGAGGACAAAGTCCTCATGTATGCTTTTGTGCTTCCCGTAGAAAAAGTGGCAGAACACACGATAGTCGCCGACCATTAGGTAGTGCGGGACCAGTTGGGAGTCTAGCTTCCAGTTGTGCAGGAAGTAATGTCCTGGGGGCACTGGGCAGTTAGTCATGAAGTTGCCGCGCTCGAGGATGCTTTGGAACCAGCTCTTGAACATACTAGACTTCACCGACGAGACCACTGCGCAGATGTCCAGGACGTAGGCGAAGAGCCGTTGGTAACTCTTTCTCTTATCCAGGCTGATTTGCACGTCCATGAGGACCTTGAGGCCCCGAGAAATCGTCGTGGGCGTCACCATGTCCAAATACAGGGTATTGTTGACGATTTCCAGGGTGAAGTTGTTGAAGTGTTTCTCATTGAATCTACACTTGCCCGCCTGGAAGAGAAAAGTGGACTGGGGAAAAAAATGTCTGTTATTCCTGCCGACTCTACCAGGAAATACTTACTGCCTGCGTAGTGACCAAATGGTGGAAGGAAAGCAGCGTTATAATTGTGAATAGTTTCAACATTTCAATGCTAATGACGGCTGCAAAATGAGACTTTAAAAATAATTTTCTCTCGGCCACTCATTGAACTGCGTTCCAGACTAAATTGATTATAATTGATGCCACGGATTAAAATTGTAAATTGTGGGTCACACATCGAAACACATTTCCGGCCTCGAGCTGCTGGTGGAATGGAACTTTTTTACAGGAGTACCTTTAACTTTTGAATGATTTCGGACTTCTGACTAGCTTAGTGTCTGCGTTTCAAGCAGAGCCCATTAGAGTATGGTTTCTAGTTGCGCCAGGAATTCCTCCTTTCAAATCTCACTTTCGATCCCTGTGAAATGGCCCACTGGAATAAGTAGGAGTACGTATAGACTTTGAACCTTATACTCGAGTTTTAATTGTTAACCAAATGCAGTGTAAGTCCGCAGAGCTATTCCTAATAAATCTATTACTTCGACACCATCGCGTAGATGTCCATGTCGAGGGCAAACTCCTCATGGTTGGTCTTCTGCTTGCCGTAGAAAAAGTGCACCAATACGCGATAGTCACCGGGCATCAGATAGTTCGGCACCAGTTGTGAATCCAGTTTCCAGTTGCGCAGGAAGTATTGGCCCTCGGGCACTGGGCAGTTGGCCATAAAGTTTCCGTGCTTGCGCATGCTCTCGAACCAGCTCTTGAAGATGCTGGTCTTTACCGAGGAGACAACGTTGCAGGTATCCAGGATGTGGGCGAAGAGCCGCTGGTAGCTCTTCCCCATGTCAAGGCTGATCTGGACATCAATTAGGACCTTTAGGCCCCGTGGAATAGTCCTGGGAGTCACCATGTCCAAGTCCAAGGTGTTGTTGACGATGGTCATAGTGAAGTTATCAAAATACTTCTCATTGAATCTGCACTTGCCCGTCTGGAAGATAAAGCTTGACTGGGACACATATCCCTGTAATCCCTGCACGATAGCGATCTCATCGATCTCCCATGCAATACTCACAGCCTGCGTGGCCACCAAATGGTGAAAAAAAATCAACGAAATAGTTGTGAATATTTTCAACATTTCCCTGCCAGTGAAAATTTCGATGTGACTCGATTTATAATGTGGTGACTGAACTGAAAGAATTCTACTAAATTGATTATAATTGAAGGCCGCAGATAAATTAATGGGAATGGGGGTTGTATGTAACTTGTCGGTTATTTTATTTCCACAAAGAAGGCGCATGCTACAACAAAGTCCTTAGTTTTCCGCTTATCCTGGTACTGTGTCATGTTGAATGTCACCTTATATTGTCCCGCATACAGAAAAGTGGGAATAAAGAGCGTGTTGTAGTTGTAATCCTTCAGATAGTAGTGGCTGGGCTGCACGGGGCAGTATCGCGGAAAGTTACCCGCCTCGAAGAGGGTCGAAAACCATCGCTTGAACATGCTGCTCTTCTTCAGGGCCAGTATGCTGCACATGTCCAGCGAGTACTGGAAGATCCTCTTGTACTCCCTTGACTTCTGGAGGCTTATGAGGAACCCCAAGTCCATCGTGATGCCCGTGTCTAAAGTTCGAAGCAGGAATGTGTCGAAATATACCCTGGAATTCTTAACCACAAGTGACACGTTCGAAAGGTAGCTCCGATTGAAGTCGCTGCATACACTATCTATCATTTTTAATTTACCCATCTGGAAGGTGTTTCGTATAGTGCAAGTCGTCTAGGGCGTAGAAATATTTACCACATCTGACACAATAAAAAATAACCCCACAATGAGCACGAATCGTACGGAATTACGGAATTTCATTGATATTTTCTATATTTTTGTCAAATGCTGACTGAACCCAAAGTCCAAAAAGTTTCAGACTTAAGCGGGTGTTTACGCCAGTTACGTTTAAAATAATTGAGAATGGAGATCCATGCCAAATTGAGGTAAACAATTTGTATATTACGCATTTAAGAGGTGTTTCAAAATTGATTCAAGGTAAAATTCGGACCATGTTTTCCCAACGATTTTAATTTTTTATTTTCATTGTGAAATCAAACAAAACATTTAATGGATCCACCAATTGTGGGAGAAACAATAATTGATGCTAATGACAAATGCTCATTAGGCCATGGCTTCGATAGCCTATCTATCAGTGTTTTCCGAGCCATAATTAGTCTATTTCGGGTTGAACCAAGCAAAATTGAATTAGTTTCTCGCACAATAGTGAACTATGAATATCCGAAAGTATTCCCAGTTAGTAATTATACTATGGGCCTGGACTTTTCAAGGTGTTCGTGTGAGTGTAATAAAGTTTAAATGGTTTAAGTAATTACAAAAAAATGTACCTCTTCCTTCAGAAAAATTCGAATATTCAGAGTCCCAAGTGCGACTACAACGGTAAATATATTGAGAGCTTGAATATATCAGCTATTGAAAACCGAATCTCTTGTGAGTTGCAGACCAAAGTGAGGATACCATCGGGAGTAATTTTTTACATGGGCCTTGAAAGGGGCGTGAGCCCTGTGGGACCCTACAATTAATATTTCCAATACGAAATCGACTATTACAAGACGATCATCACGTAATGTTGGTCGAATGTGTGATTATATCCGAATTGATTTGATCAGAGTGATTTTAAAACTCTAAAAATAAAGAAGAAAGACACAAATAAAGTGGACAAGTACTTAAATTATCTTATCACATTAACAAAAATTCCATTTTCAATCTTGAAGCTCAGGTGCGCTATTCCCTGAGCTTTAAACCGCAACTTCTGGCGGAGAGTCAGACAGTCAGTCATTCGTGTTGGGCTCATCTCATCCGAAATGCAGTCAACGTGTCTATGTTTATACAGCGTGTGGTGCACGAACCACTGCAGAAAACAATTGCACGTAATTCTGCTTACGCTGTAACATTGCAACAATGCACGGATTGGGACGGCACGGAAAAAAGAAAACCTGCCTTACCATTTGACATAGCCCTCTGTTTTTCTGTATTTTTTAACCCAGCTGCAGCCCTCCCTTCCTGTGGTTGCGACAGTCTGATGGCCAGACAGAGTGACAAAGAGGCAAATAGACAGCCAGACGGAGGAGAGAATGACAAACGAATAGTCAGACTGTCTGACAGACAGTTGGGCTGTGAGACGTCGACCTATGCGCTTAATCAGAATCGGGTCCGTCGAAACTAAGTTGCCATTTTCAATTGTCCAACGTTGTCTCGGCCTAAGCCCGAACTCCCGAGTTCCCCGTTTACCAGCAACCAGTTCCTGGTGTTGGCCAAATAAATGTCTTGTCTTCTTTCTCCTTTTGTTTCTCTGTTTGTCCCTCTTTCGGCTTTCACTCCGTAACTGCCGGCCGCCTGACTGCGTGGCCTTCCTTCTGCTGGCAGCCTTAGTGACTGCCTTCCCGTACCCGTGTGCCTGCATATTGCATTTATTTACATAGGCCTGGTCTGACTTTTGATTTTAAGCTCTTTCGCTCTGCTCTGCACTCTCTTCTAACTCAATTCCCTTTTCGAGGCGGCCCTACACGCCTACATCTCTACGCTCCAGAAATGAATGTTTTGTGTGTATGGGTATGTGTGCGTGTGGTTGAATGTGGCTTTATGTATTTGCGGATGCATTTATGTACGTGCTCTGCCCCGTCCTGTGTAGGTCTCCTGAGTAGGGATGCTGTCTTTGGCCCGTGACCATCACCACAGACGTGATGTGTGACTTTTGTTGCTAGAGTTTCCGGATTATGTGGACTGTGCCGACTGAAGTGCAACTTGTACTTTAATGCTTTAGAAAGTACTCTACTCGATGTTTCTTTGCTCTAATGACATGCTGGCGAGAAGACTACTCATTATGTGAGATAAGGAGCGCGGAGAAAGAAATCGGTGTGATAGAAAGAACATTTGTAAACATTCTGGAAACTTTATTTTCAGTCGACAGTTCAGTGGGTGAGAAAAAATAGCATATGGTTTAAACTTTCTATCTTGGGATCCTATAATCGCTGCGACTGTCCTCATATTTCCTTCTATCCACTGATTGCCTTAAGAATGCTACAGACTAGCAAAAAATAAATGGGAAATTGCCTCGTCAACGATTTCGACCGCATTTCTGATTCTGATTTGGCCAGACAATATTGTTTCTCCTCGTTGCGTTCCTCTTCGGTGGCACTCCAATTTGAAACGGCAATCAAAAGTGCAACGGAGGAAGACAATTTTCACACTTGGCATGAAAGAAATATATATTTTGCTTGGCAAATATGCTGACCCCTCAGTGCAAACAAGCAGCAGGCTGGAGAGAGCAGTGCAGTAGCAGCAGCATTGGCAGTGGCAGTGGCACTCGTGCGAGGCGAAAGAAAACGTCATCATAAATGCCCCAAAATGGGACCCAGAAGACAGAAGGCAGCAAAAGGCAGCCGCAACAGTGCCAGAAAGGAGCAGCAATCAGAGGCGCCTGGAAATGTGCAATGCGAAAAATCAACACAGAACAACGACAACGAGGAACGACCCCAATTACCCTCGTTTCGGCTCATGCGAATGGTAAAAGGAGCGAAAAATCCCTGCATATTTACAGGCGTTGGCATGAAAATTTGTCACCTAGCAGAGCAAACACCTCCGAATGCTCTGTGTGTGTGTGCCTCTGTGTGCCTCTGTGTGCCTCTGTGTCTATGTGTGTGGAATGTAATCGAGCCTACATCTGTAGATATGCAACGCCTGTGCGACAAGAAGCCCCCAGTAATCGACACTTGGGCGAGGCAAACTGTTTGCCGAAAGAGCTCTGCCCTCGCCCGCCCGTGCCTCCGTATCGCACTTCGTTGCCGTTCGCTGCGTTTGCGCCTACTGGCATGCAATTGTAGGGGCAAGGATGCACGGCTCACCTGGAAATGTGCAACCCAGGGATTGGTCGCCAACCGGCATGCTCATAAAGTTTTCATGGCTGGACGGGATTGGTCCGGCTTGTGAGTTCAGGGGAGGATCGTAGTGCGCATGAGCGGGGAGAGAGAACGGGGCCAGGATGCGCTCAGCAAATAGTAGGAGCGCCCCACGGTATGCTACAGCATTTGGCTACTTTTTTGACTATTTTCCACAGTTAAGAGGGTTCGTTCGGTTCGTCCTGCGATTAAAGCTTTGCTTTGCGCGTGGTGAAAATCGGGTCGGGGCAGCCACTGCTCTCAAGTGGTGGTGGTTTTTCCACCCATGCACATTTTTATGTGCGAACTAATTGTATTGGAATGTTGATGTCCATCTTCCCGATGTACTGCGATGTCCAGTATTTGCATGCGCTCTTCGAATGTTTGACATTGATTGCATTTTAAATTTGTATCAATGTGGGAGCCATTCGATTCGAGAATTCGATTATTGTTCTCAACATTTTTATGGAATTGTATTCTCAAGGCAAAGAATTATTCTCTAGATTTACCTATGATGTGTATTAAATAAATCTGTGCGTATATACATACATTCTTAGCTATGGCAGGAGATCTCGCATTCTTGAATTACGATCAAGACTTTGCTATTCAGTTGTTTTATTGTCCTAAATGGGCCTTCCATTCAATTACAATTACTTTAGCCTTAATTTTCCATTTGAATGTTGCCACCCGAAGTAATACCCTTGGGGCTCAGCTTTTGTGGAGACTTTCGCATCTGTCTCGCTCTCATTGTTGCTCTCCTTTAAATGATTTCTCTCTCTCTTTCTCTCTCTCTATCTCTCTTTCTAATCCGCTTGCTTTTCTGGCAGCTCCACACAAAAGGGAGTTCAATTCGCCGTGGCAGAAAAAGCTTTTATTCACTGCGAGAAAATGTTTTTTTTGGGGCTATCTTTTCATTGGGAAACATTGCACAGAATTTAAGTAGTAGGCGACAGTTTTTCTTGCAGTGAACTGGCAGAAGCTCTCGGGCATACAAATAAAAATTACTGAGGGGCGAGTGTAGAGTTACGCTTGTACTTGTTGCCATTGTTGTTGTTTGAGGCGAATTCAGCAGAGAGGCATGCAACATGTTCGAGTTTGGCATGGCCGAACAAAAATGCTGTTGCATGCTTTTGGTGCTGAAATAAACAACATTCACACTTAAATCAACTATAATAAATAACGAAATGTAAGAAAAATTCATGTTATTATTAAGCTATTTTGTATTATTAAACAGTTTAGTAGTTTATTTTATTTTGATTCATTGAAGTGCATTAAACATCCACTATTGGCGGAGTCCTATCATCGGTTCCTTGCGAACGCTTCGCATTTGCCGAGACTTGCTTTGCACTTGGCCAAAATACAGACAAGACAAGTTGGCCGTGGCTGCTCTCCTTATTTGCCGGCTAAAATGCTTCGGTTGTTTCCAGCTTTTCGGGTTCCTTCGTCGTCGTCGACAGCTTCGTTCTTGTCGTAGTCGTCGTCGTTTCCGGCGCCTCGTCGGCTGCCGCAAGGACTCGTGCAGTTGGCTAGGTTCGTGCTCGTTGCACAAATCGCCAGAGGATGGCCAAGCATCAGATTTTTTTCGGAATGCGTTAAGGATCAGTTTTGCGCGAATTACGGTTACGAAAGGTTGCTGTCGACAAAGGGCCGGCGTCCAAAACAAACATTTTCACAGTGCCAGTCATTACCATCTCCCAGAGTGCGTTCGCCTCACTGTGTGTCTGTGTACAGTGTGTGTGACTCGGTGTTTGTTTCGCGAAATTTAAACGATTTTATTGGAGATTCGAAAAGAACACTCGCCACACCAGAATATATCTCGGAAACACACACATATCGACATCGGAACTGACCTACGCTACGACAAAGCACTTTAAGGTCCTAACTGACCTAAGTCACAAGAAGAAGAGAGGAGCCTGACAATACTCGTAGTTGAGGAAAGTCAAGAAGCTTTTGCACATTTTTAGCCGTTTACAGTAAACAGTAATAAAATAATAAATATAAAATAGGAATATGAATAGGACCTAATCTAGGAGTAGAGGAGCGCTAGTCTAACACTCTTTGCTTTGAATTATCATATCAGTTGCAATCGCACAGAGAACATCAAGATAATCCCAGGAGGGTTTCGAACTCTTTCGCTAGAAGGAGGCAAAGTAATCCCGAACCAATTCTGAACTTCGCTCGCTTAAACGTTAAATGGTTGTGAACTGTAGTAAGCAAATAGCGAATTAGCTGCGTAGAATCTTCGCATCTTTATCTATCCCATAAAGCATAGTAAGTGTCGTAGATAACTTAGTAAATAGATCGTCCAAGAATTTGTTGGCCTAAGGAGGATTATCGCGAACTGTAGTAATGTAGCTCTCAGTTCTCAGATTATAGTGAAGTGAATAAAATCGGTGCATAATTCCGAGTTACCCATTGAAAATAGTGCTTACAAGAACTGTGAGTAAGAAACGCAAGTTTAAGTGTTTGGAAAATGTGAAAGAAACACGATCGAGCTTCGAAAAACTCAGAGCTCTCTTGAGTTGAACAATTCCATAAATGGTAAGTGAAAGTCAACTCTAAGAAACATGTCAATTACTGTCACTTAAATACATATTATTACATATCACTTAAATATGTACAAAACTTTGGATTGAGGATTCTAGTTTATCTAGCTCTGAATTCCCTTTGATTAAAATACTGAAGAGCCCCCTACCCAATCCTACTATGAAAATAGATTGAAAAAGCGTGGCAACATCCATTGTAATCATTGTCCATCAGTCTTTCGCGATGCGGGGCCCTGAGTTTGCAGTTTGGGGCTCTGGCAATTGATTTTCTTGCCGCCTATTCGACACTTCAGATTCAATTAAAATTCGGCTCTAAAATTGCTTTTTGCCAGTTGTTGGTAAAGTGCAACATCGGCAGATTTCATTGTCAGCGTAGCTACAGTCAGCAGGGATGGAAAAAGGCTTGCGACAGTTGCTATATAAACGCCAATCCAAGCAATTTCAGAGTTGACTGCGTTTCGTCCTCCCTAGCGAATTATTCGATGGGGAGGAGTCCAGTGCAGTAAATTGTAGAAAACTGATTTTTGCATTGATCCGAGCCCAAAATCCGAATCCTGTATGTCCTAAATTTGTGTGAAGTGAATTGCATAAATGTGCAAGCTGTTCAAGTGATTTCAAGTGAAAGGCAAATGCAAAGGCTTCTCCGAACGAGACGACTCGTTTATCTGCCTGCTGTATTATTTTGGTGCATACTTTGCTGCGTCATTAAACCAATTGGCGAGTGCAAAGAGATCGTTGCGGACTGCAGACGTGTTTATTTTGGGGGAAATCAGTTGAATATTCCAAGTAATGCCTTGGAGGTGGCTCTTTGATTAGGCTGCTGAAAATGTAATAAAAAAACCTATCAAAATTTGGCTTAAAGTCTCCTTTAATATGCATTTGTATACTTTTTTGCTGGGGTACAACCCGGCAGAGAGATGTTTCAGAACAGAAACGTTTCATTAAAGGCCGCAACGCAGCCAGTGGAAAAGTACACACAAAAGCAGCCGAAAACAAAACGTTGACAAAAAGCATAAAACACACACAAAATGAAAATGATGCAACATGCAAAGAGCGGGGGAAAAAACGTCGAGAAAAATAGCTACAATGCTTGCAAAAAACCTGCGGACATACTGGACTGACTGACCGACCAGCAGACAGACAGACCATACAAATAAATACGCAGTCAAAGGCAATCAACGTCGGGGCCCCGACAGGTCCCCCGTCCATGTTCCCGACAGTTGCCGATATTTGATTTGAAAACATTCCGGAAAACGCTGCCGGAGTGCTGCACTTTTCCCTGTTATGTATTTTGGAATCCTCGTCAGCGGCACTTGGCTGGAAGGATCGCTGCAAACAAATAAACGGCAGCACACAAATTACGATTCGATGCCGACTTTTTGGCCATTTTGGTTGTGCTTCTGCTTTCCGGTTCTGCTTTCTTGTCCGCCGCTTTGTCACTTGATGTTTTAATTTGAAGGCAGGCAGGCAACATTTAGTATTTTTGAAAGGGGAACCACAGGAAAATCAGAGACACAATTCCGTCCAACTGGAATTTCCTAAGCCAACAAATGTGAAAGCCATCAATAAAACTCACTTGATTATTTGAAAATGAAACCATTTTCGTAGTTGAATTGTCTATGTAAATAGTTTATTCCTGGAGAACTTCTGCCTTATAAGACTTTGTTGCCAGATTGGTAAAAAATATAATGAACTCCTTTCATTCAGAAGAGAGAGAGCAGTTTTGTCTAGTCTTAGATAGTATTCGAAAGGGGATTCCCTCGAGAATTTGTGAAAGAAAATAACCGAATTCCCAACTATATCCTGGACGCATGAAAACCATTTATTTCCTTACCGGGCTTTTATTGCCATAAAGCTCTTCGGACCCGACACATCGCAGACCCAGACACAATTTACGCTGCCCAAATCGAAATAGATGTTTCACCGACTCGCACTCTTTGCACTGTTCTCGTCCGACAATTAACACAGGGGAAACAAAAATACTCCTTTGCTTCTGGTCGGGGCCCTAAACAAGGGTCTGTTTCGTTTGGATGGATGAAATGGCCTTAAATGTGGCAAACGTGGTTGAGGGAAGCTTCTGGCTCGCACTGGGGCTTGGGCTGGGAAAGCGTCTGCTGCCGTATAAAGTTTAATGAGCCGCAATTAATCGTACATGACATCACTATAAAAACGTTTACGAAAAATTATGTTTTTTTTTTGCTAGTCCTCCTTGTGGGATGCCTGTAATTGCTGGTGTCTTTTGTTGAGGATGTGAGCGTCCTTAGGGATTCCTTACCATGAAGAAGGCACTGAATCCTGAATGCTGAATGAAGCGGCAACTTTATGTGTATTTTCTTTACTTTCGCAGAACTCTGGATGAGGCGAGAGAGCAGTTCCGCGTATTAGAGAGCAGCATTCACATTCCCAATACCGAAGGTGCATGCAGAGGCTACGACCGATCAATTTGTCATTGCAATTGCCTTTCCTAATTAACAATTTAAATAAATCGCACGATGTTTCCATCGAACCAAAATGTTGCAAAGTGAATGCAATTTAATTGGAAATTTAATTGCTTTTGTGGTTGGAATGTGACATGAGCGCCCAGCCTTTTTACCTGTGCATGGACCACGCTCACCACCCCCACTCTCCACTTTCCACCAGTATTTTTTTCCCGTTTTTGAGGCTCTTAATTTAGACGTGTCCATTGCTGTCGCTTGGCTTTTGTTGTTTTAATTATTTGCGGTTATATTTATTTAAATATTTACCAATTCAATTAGGGTGACAGTTTTTGTGCCTGCCCCCGCGACTCGTCAAAATGGAGTTTCCTCTGGGATTGAGTTGCTTTGTATTGGGTCCAACAAATAATTTCAATTAATATGATTTCATATCTGACAAATAGTATCTGCAGACATCACTGCCACAGATCTCTGCCCTCCGCACGGGGAAAAACCTTGCAGACAGTTTCAGCTTTTCTCTGTGTTTTTTTTCTATCTTTCTCTTTGGGAGGTAGTTTTTCTTTTGGCTGGCTGCGTGCCAATTATAAAAGTGATTTCGCTGTAAGCTGCAGACACAAGACTGAGTCCAGGATCCAGACTGAGACCCCGACCCCAACCCCGAACCCGAAACCAACGCGGGGCACACATGAAGCTCACTTCCGTCAACGGGAAGTCATAAGACGTATGAACTTGTCGCCATTGCAAGGAGAAAGAAGCCAAACGCAGAGCTAGAGCTAGAGCTGAAGCTGGAGCTACAGTCAAAATGAAGTTGAAGTCTCCTTCGCTCTCTTTCGCTGTCTCTCTGACAGATTCCTCTGTTTGGTTTGTGCCAAAGAAATGCGATAAATTGAATGACTGACGACGCAGTAAATACTTTTCAGACTTGGCCGGGATGGGTAGGAAAGTCACATGGATCAATTTCCACATCCACACACGACACGACAAATTGCGCGTGGTTAGACTTTTCTTTCTCAGCTCTCGTCCTCGTTATCCTTTCTAGTTTGACATGTGTACCCAAAGAAAGGGAGAGGGAAAGGATCTCTGACGAGGTGTGAATGGCTAAGCTGTCAGCTTGGAGGGAGGGAACAGGAAAATCGTGTCTCAATACCAGGAAAGTGCAGCCAACCTATGGGGCTCGGCTCTCAAGTCCCAGAATTTGGCTTCCTCAGAAGAACAACAAAATTACGGCCATCTCTGGGGACCTTCCGATCTGACACACACATGCACCTTTCAATTGCACATTTAAAATCCGCTGCACTCATCCGCTTATGGACGCACCACGTGGGGGGTGGGGGGTCCTTTGTATCCCTCTGCAAGTCCCCTTTGCACAAGGAACACACTAATTTAAATGCATAAAAACTTACTCAAGCGTTGATTGTGTTTGCCCAGAGTCTCGTTTCATAATTTTTGCACAAATTGCGGTTTTGCAGGCTACGAAAAGCGAGCAGCAGCAGCAGCAACCGCCAAATACTTTGGCAACTAATAACAATTAGGAATGATTCAACCCGACTTTAAGATACCCCGCACTAAGATCATAAAGGTTTATTGAATTGATATGTTTTAGATACCAGTAGTTTCAATTTTTGTGGCACCAAAATGAAACTGATTATCCTATTGCTGGCTGTAATAGTTTGTTCGGTTAGCGAAGTATTTTGGTGGATTAAATTTGGAATCCGGCTAAAGGCAACCCTCAAAGGAAATTGCCAAGTAAAAAGATACAAAACCATATTCGGTTTTGAAACATTGTGGAAATAAATAGAATTTACTTTAAACTAAAATCAAATATATTTGATTGTATTTAAATACATGCATGAATACATTTTTAAGTCAAAGTTATTTCCTGTTTATGTTAAGATATTCATTTAAATAAGAAACATATTAATCCATCTAAATATGAAAATATGAAATTAAAATGTAAACTTCATGGAATGAAATAATTAGAATTTACTTTGATATAAAAACGAATGTAAATAAATTAATGAAATAAAATGTAGCTACGTAATGTGCCACCTCATTTCTTTTATGTACATGTACATATTTATATTTAATATTATTGAATTAATATAAATTCATTTCATTTAAAATCAAAGGGAAAAATCATAATCCAAAGTATTAAACACTATTTTTTATTAAAAATATATGATATATTCATAAAATTATGAAAATGTTAAATGAAAAAGTATGATTCCTAGGAAATACGTACATATATCCCTGTGCTTTTCGCTCGGGTACTGGGTATCGAAATGAGCAACTCTATCCCCTAGCTGCCCCTGGCAACTCTCAGCTTCTATACATGTGTAAAAATTTACACCACATATTGGGGCGTGGTGGGGGAGTGTTGTGATGATGCGCGTCATTCGTTAGCCAGGCGAGGAGGCTGCAGTGCGCAGTGAGGAGCAAAAGCAGGAGCAGGAATGGCAGGAGAGGTGAAGAGCGGGTCAGTCATTGGCCATTTTTGTTGCCAACTCGACATATTTCAATCACGTAAATTTATTACGTAAACATTTGCTTTGCTTTTCGC